AAGCTTCTTTTTCTCACTTGAGAAAAGAAATTTTAAAAGAAAGAGTATTTCTGCTCTACAAATAAATAATTCCTTATCAAAAAATCAGGAAGACATTGGAAATTTTATTTCAAATTTTTATAGAAACCTATATTCCCTTGACTCTCATGCAAGCCAAAACGGATCTTACCTACAACAAATAGAAAACTATATACCTCAGATAAGTAATGAGTTTAAAGTATTATGTGAAGCTCCAATTTCTTTAAATGAAATTAGGGATGCAATGAAATTAATGAAAAAAGGGAAGTCGCCTGGCTCTGATGGCCTAACATTAGAATTTTTTATACATTTTTGGGAATTTTTAGAGCAACCCTTTCTTTTAATGCTTCAAGAGTGTTTAGAGAATGAAACAATGACCCCTACTATGAAACAAGGTGTGATATCTCTCATTCCCAAACCAGACAAAGATCCAACTATTATTGACAATTGGCGTCCTATTACACTTCTAAATTTTGATTATAAATTACTTGCTTCCATATTTGCCAAAAGATTAAAACGACATTTACATTATATTATAAATGAAACGCAGACTGGATTTATAAAAGGGCGTCATATTAGTTGTAATACTCGACTTGTGCTGGATCTAATTGATTATAAAAATGAAATAGACTCTGATGCTATTATCCTATTCCTCGATTTTTACAAGGCTTTCGACACCGTAAAGCATGAATTCCTTTTAGACTCTTTGAAAGCCTTTGGATTCCCCTTAAAATTTCTTAATGTGGTACAAATGTTGTACAAAGATATTAATAGTTGTGTAATTCTAAATTCATGTACTTCACCAAGATTTCCTGTGCTTCGTGGTATACGACAGGGCTGTCCCTTGAGCCCATTCTTATTTTTATTTGTTGTAGAAACTCTATCTATAGATATTCTACACAATAATAATTTGGTTGGTATTAATATCTTTAACAGAGAGATTCGCATATCACAATTGGCAGATGACACTACACTATTTTTAAAGGATAAAGATCAAGTGTCTCCTGTTTTAACCATTATTAATGCATTCTCAGATGCTTCTGGACTCAAACTAAATTTATTAAAATGTGAAATTATTTGCTTGTATGACACCTTAGATGCAAAAATTGAAAATATACCGATCAAAGAGGAAGTAAAATACTTAGGAATTAATATAACAAAAAATCTAATTAGCAGACAGTTTTTAAATTTTTCAACAAGATTATCTAAAGTAAAATATATTTTTAATAGTTGGCTCCAAAGAGATTTATCAATTCTAGGCAGAGTCTTCTTAACCAAAACAGATGGGTTATCTAGATTTGTATACCCCTCATTATCTTTAGCAGTAGATAATCAGACCTCTAAAAAAATTGACAAAATTTTTCTTGATTTTATTTGGAATAATAAGCCTCACAAATTGAAGAAACATTTATTATCAAATAAAAGGAGTGAGGGGGGTCTTGAAGTCCTAAATTTTGATGACACCAATAATACTTTTAAAATCAATTGGCTAAAGAGATGTTTGCTTGGTTCAGACTCTATGTGGTATTTTATTCCAAACAATATATTTAAAAAGATTGGTGGCCTTTCTTTTTTAATGAAGTGCAATTACTCCATTGGTAAATTACCTATTAAATTAGCTCAATTCCATCAACAAGCTCTTTTAGCCTGGAAACTGACTTACAGCCACAACTTCTCACCCCACAAAACCATTCTATGGAATAATGGTGACATTAAGATAAATAATAAATCTTTTTTCTGGGATAAATGGTTTAACAAAAACATTATTTTTGTTTCTGATCTTTTTAACAGTAACGGTGATCTTTTAACTTATGAGAGTTTTATAAACATGTATCAATTCCCTATTCGCTATATGGAATTCAAGTCAATTATAAAGGCTATACCTAGTGGATTATTATGTCTGATGAAAGCTGCTCTTAGTTATGAGGCAGGTACCAAACAATTGTCACAGTTACTCCTAGGAGGAAAATCTATTCTTAGTAAAGAATGCAATAATAAGTTTATACGTCAAGTGTCCCAGTCACATAACGCAATCACTCCTAGAGGAAAGTTTTTTTGGGGATCCATAATTGTTAATATTCAATGGAGGAAAACATGGTTATTACCATATAAATTCTGTATTCCTAATAAAATGAAAGAGGTGCACTTTAAAATTTTGCACAATATTTACCCATGTAATGCACTTTTATCCAAATATTGTGATGTTACTGATATTTGCACATTTTGTAAGAATGAGAGTGAAGACATTTGTCACTTATTTTTTTCTTGCGATGTATCATCACTGTTTTGGGATGATTTAAGCTCATACTGTTTCTCCAAGGTTAATATAAATGGTAATTTGTACCTTAAGGATGTTATTTGCTATTTTGAAAACCAAAACAAGGCGTTAGAAGCCACTGTGAACTTTCTTATACTTGCTGGGAAATTTTATTTTCACAAACAGAGATTTCTTAAAAAAAATCCAATCTTTATTGACTTCTTATGTGAAATAGAACATTTAATTAAATCTCTTAGATTAATTGAAAATAAGAAATGTACTTCTTTCTTGAGCAAATATGATGAGATCTTTCATGCTACTTGAATATTTATTTCTTTTTTTATTATACTGTCTTTTCTTATTTTTATTTATATTTTATTTTTTTTATGTACTGTGTTTTAGTTTTACTCTTATCTTGTGTATGTAATGTGATTGTTGTGTAAAAGAACTGTTATCTTTTACTATATTCTAAATTGTATTATACAGTTTCTTGAAGCAATAAAAAAAAAAAAAAAAAAAAAAAAAAAAAAAAAAAAAAAAAAAAAAAAAAAAAAAAAAAAAAAAAAAAAAAAAAAAAATGCATATATTCACATTTACTTTAACATGTTCAATTCAACCAGCGATACAATTTTACTCATGCTCATGTACATTTTCACACAAATCTTAATATGCATATGAGGAAAATCTATTAAATGAGACAATTTGAATCGAATATTAGCAAACCTATAACATTTGTTACACCGCCAGTATAACGTGTAAGCCATGAAGAAGTGTTTGTGTAACACAATACAGGTGGTATAAAATCGATAATAATCAAATGACTTTTGAATATTTACACAAATAGAGCACTTACAGATATATATATATATATATATATATATATATATATATATATATATATATATATATTTCAATGTTTAAATCAGCCCCAGAAATAAACTACATGGGCATTACACTTGACCGCACACTGAGAGAAACTGAAAGTAAAACTCAACATAATATATAGTGCAGTACTTTAAATGTACTGATCAAAATGACAAGAGGCTATATGAGACTGCACAACATTGATATTAGGTATGTTTTTGATGTCAGTTGCGGGATAAAGGGAGGAAGAGTGGGGCCGTAAGAGGCCCGCGGAGCGGCAGTTTGAGACCCCTGCTTTACAGTGATTTATTCAATGATTCAGGCTAAATCTACCCTAAATCCACCAAAAACTAGATGCGTTTCCATTATCGATTTACCCCCAATGATTTTCGCCGACAGTTTTGAGAAATCGCTGAACATGTCTGAAATCACAGGTAAATCGGTGCTCATTCACGAGAGTAACAATCAAAATACCAACTACCAAATATGCGATCTAAAAGAAAAAAATAAATAAATAAATAAAAATTTAAATTTCAAAATCATGCCATGTGAAATGTGTTATGATCGATAAATAAATAACATCGGCGATAACCTACAGCCAATAAGAGAGCAGCATTCACTAGTGTGGGTATCTGCAGGCCAGCGGGAGGTTAGAGGAAAAGTTAGGTGTTCTTTTCAGTCTATATGGACCTAAGAAATGGAGAAACAACTAGTAGAAATTTGGCGGGAGCACCCGTGTCCGTTTGACGTGTCATCTGAACAATATCACAATAGACTCAAAAAAGAAAAAAAGTTAAATTGCTAATTCCCTTCAAAACCCACATGAGCAAACTAAGTACATTTTCTACCCCACTAAAGGCTTCTTTCTCATTATGTAGTTCAAGAGTTCACACTTAGATATTGCTTGACAGCTGTAAGCAGGTTTGGCATGCTGTCCCGGGAGAGAACCCTGAGCTCGGAGATAGTTGAGCCCAGGGCTCCCGCCAGGTCCATAGAGCATGTGAGGGGAGTACGAGATCAGGTGGTTCTCGAGAGCTCCCCTTTTTGTAAAGGAGAAAAG